CTAGAGTGAAAATAGTAGTTTTAAAGAATACTTGTTTGGGAACAAAACAGATTCCTCCTTTCAGGGCTTGATAGTTCGGTGGGAAAGGCTGACAGTACTTTGTTACATGTTTATTGTTCATATAATAACTTGTTCAAGTTTGGGCAACCAGAGAAATTTAGTCTGTTAGTAGAGTGAGTAGAACTTAATTTGGGTCAGCATGTTGAGGGGAGACAGGTAAAGGCTCCTGGGTGAGAAGTAGCACGCTTCCTTCACAACCATAAAGATGAATGGATTTTAAGAAAAAGGAATATGTGATCAGATTTACATTTAAAAATCGATAACTAGTAAATGTGGGAAATGCTTTTTTAAAGAATAGAGGGGGCAAGGGAAGAGCTCAGACTTGTTGGGAAGATCTTGCAATAGTTCAGAAATCCTTAATACATAGTTCGAAGTAAGTGGAAGCAATGGAAAAGATAAAATAGTGCATCACTCTGGTAACCTTACAGAGCAGCTGTGGTGAACCTGTGGCACACGTGCTGCAGCAGACTGGACTTTATCATTGAAAGCTCTGAAAAAGGTTTGCCGTCACTGTTGTAGAGGCTTGAATTGTTTGGACTGTGGTTCACTGGCTGTGGGACTGAAGATGTGGACAATGTCAAGAATTTTAATTTTCTGACGTGAACAATATGTCTGAATGGATAAACACAATGTAGTATATACATACAATGGAATGGTATTCAGCCATAAAAGGAATAAAATGCTAAAACATGTATGAGCTTTGAATACATTACGGTGAGTGAAAGAGGCCAGTCACAAAGATCAAATACTGTGTGATTTCGACCATATGAAATGTCCAGAGCAGAGACATCCATAGAGATAGAAAGACTAGTGGTTGCTTAGGGTGAGAGTGTGGGGTTAGAGTGGGGAGATTGGGTGGTGATAGCTAAAAATATGGAATTTCTGCTTCAGTTGTTGAACATGTTTTAAAATTGGCTGTGGTGACAGGTGCACCTAACAGTATATTAAAAATGAATTGTGCACTTTATTTGGAACTGTGTGGAATGTGAACTACATCTCAATAAACGTGTTTAAAAATACATATACACATGGGGAAGGGGAGGGCCAGGGATTTAGCTCAGTGGTTTTGCCACCTGCCTCACAAGCACAAGGTCCTGAGTTTGATCCCCGGTCCCCCCCCCCAAAAAAGATGGGGGAAAAGGTAGGATTGAGAGGGAGAGGAAAGGGCATTGAAAGTGACCAAAATACCTTATGTATGTGTACCTGTTTCCCCAAATGAACAATTATTATGTATCAGAAATATATACCAATTAAAATATACCCTGAAACAACATACTCATTAGATGGGCTAAAATTTTTAAAGAAACTGACAATACCAAGTGTTGGAAAAGGATGTAGAGCAATTGGAAGTATATCCTGTTGGAAGGGATATGAAACAGCACTTGGGAAAACAATTTGGAAGCCTCTTTAAAAGTTAAACGTACTCCTAGAAGCAGCCTCCCAAGTGCTGAGGTTATGGGGATGAGCCAATGTGCCCAACATGTCTTGGGATTTTGTTGGTATCATAGTGACTATGATTTTGGGGAGAATTACTATCTTAACAGAATTTAATGTTCTAATCCATTAAGTAGATGCTTTATTTAGATCTTTTGGTTTTTTTGGTACTGGGGATTGAACTCCGGACTTGTGCTTTGTGAGGCAGGCACCAGAACCACTGAGCTAAATCGCCAGCCCTATTTAGGTCTTTGTTAATTTCCTTCAACAAAGTTTTTAATTCTTTGAGTAGAAGACTTGGGTGCCTTTAGTTAGATATTTTTCTAAGTATCCATCTGTAATTTTTTTGGAGTTAATTGTGAATAGTATTAAAAATTTAATTTTCTGATTATTTCTTGCTGGTCTATAAGAATACAATTGGTTTTTTGTTTTTGTTTTTTGGTACCAGAGATTGAACTCGGGTCCTTTTGCTTGTGAGACAGGTGACATAACCACTGAGCTAAATCCCCAGCCCTTACAATTGGTTTTTTGCCCATGAACCTTGCATCCCTTGACCCTGTTAAATGTTTTATTAAATTTAGCCATTAGTGTTTAGAATCTCTATGAAAACAGTCATACCGTCTGCTGATAGTTACGGCTTTGTTTCTGTATTTTTGATCTTTTGGCTTATAAAGATTTTTTTTTTTGGTACTGGGTATCGAACTCGGGTCCTTGCGTTTGCACAGCAGGAGGCAAAACCACTGAGCTAAATCCCCAGCCCTGGCCTATAAAGATTTTGTCTTCTTGTAGTGGCTAACGTTTCCAGGGCAATATTGAGTAGAAGGACTCATTCTTATTCTTTTTTTTTGGTACTGGGGATCGAACTCAGGACCTTGTGCTTTCAAGGCAGATGCCGGAACCACTGAGCTAAACCCCCTGCCATTATTCTTGATATTGCAGAATTGTCTTGATATTGCAGAATTGTCTTGATATTGGAGTACTTTCTTTTCTTGATATTCTTATTCTTGATATTGGAGTATTTTTCTTTTTCCACTTTAATGGTGCATTTTAAAAGCTAAAACATTATTTGGCTTTAGTTTTATAGTTTTTTTTTTGAGATAGAGTCTTGATATGTTGCCCAGGTTGGCTTTGAACTCAGATTTCTGTGTCATCCTCCCAAGTAGCTTGGATTAAAGGTGTGCACCACCATACCCATCTGGCAGCTTCTATTTAATATCTTCCATGTGTCAGGAGTGTACTGTATAAAAGTCATAGGGAAGTGCTCTCCAGTTATGTGAGAATGAGATTTTTTTCTGACTTCAGCTAGATTGTCTTTTATATAGCCACTGAAAATCTAGTGTACTAATTAGGTAAGAAGGAGGAGCTAGAACTCAGTATGGGGATGGTCATTATTTCTCATGGGATGCCAGTGTTTTATGCTAGTCCTTAAGGGGAAAGGAGGGGGTAAGAGAGGAAATAAGGTGAAGCAAAGGGGATTTTGTCAGTAGGGTCAAGTGTACTTTGAGTTAATATGATAGTGTATTTGGGTTGAAACTCTTTTAAGTTACCATTATATAGAATGTCATATGTGCCTTCCAGTCTATTCTGCCATTGTTTTTTGTTTTGTTTTAAAGACTGAGGTATAATTTACATGTAATAAAAATATATAACTCTTAAATGGTCAGTTTGGTGATTTTTTTCCCCTCTAATTTTACCCGCCCATGTAACCATCACTGATAATAAGTTTTCTCCTATCCCTTTCTAGTCAGTTCCTCAGTTCTAGAGGCAGGAACTACTACTTTCTGATTTGTATCACCATATATTAATATTCTTAATGCTGGAATATTTTCTGTGTTAGACTGTGTGGATATATTTCCATAAGGTGATACTGGAAATATTATTGAGAAAAGCAAACTGTATAAGAAAATAATTTTTATTTCCTCATCATATACTACTCAGTCCTCAGAATCATTGGGCCAACCTGATTACTTTCTAATTAGGAGACACATGTATTTTGTTTTAATTTTTTGGTACCGGGGATCGAACTCGGGACCTTGCACTTGTGAGGCAGGCAGTGGAACCACTGAGTTAAATCCCCGGCCCAAGACACATGTATTTTAATGAAATTGTTTCATTCACACTTTGCTGTTTTATATTTGTTTTTATTTAAAATCATATACTGGATGATCTAGTAATTACACTTCTGGATATATATACAAAGAAAATAAAATCAGTATATTGAAGAAATACCTGCATTCCCATGTTCATTTCCATATTATTTACAACAGACAGCATAGGGAATCAACCTAAGTGTCCATCAATGGTAAATAGGTAAAATATTATGTACAATAGAAAACCATTTAATGAAGGAAATCCTGTCATTTTTGACAATGTGTATAAACATGGAGGGAATTAATGCTAAGTGAAATAAGCCAAGGGAGGCAGTGAACTCAGGGAAGTAGAGAATGGAATGTGTTCACCAAAAGATGGGGTCAGGGTGGAGGCTGGGGAGATGTTGGTCAAAAGATGCAAAAATTCAGTTAAGGAGGAATAAGTTCAAGAGCTCTATTGTAGAACTTGATGTCTATAGTTAACATATTGCATTCTTGGAAATGGTAAGGAGGTAATTTTAAATATTTTCACTGAAAAAATATGTGAGGTAACGAATGTTAGCTTGATTTAATTATTCCACATTGTATTTGTATATCAAAACATCATGTTGAATACTGTGAATATGAAAAAAAATAATGTGAATATGTACAATTTTTGTCAATAAAAAATACATGAGGGCCGGGGATTTATCTCAGTGGTGCTGCTGCCTGTTGTGCAAGCACAAGGTCCTGAGTTCGATCCCAACCAAAAAAAAAACATAAAAAAATTGGATTTTCTTTCAGAGAATTCTGCAGTCTTACCTTCTCAACTTTTCATGTCACTATTAAATCACTTATCAAAACATGATTTTAGATATTTTAGACATTGAAATTATTATTCTTTTTTGAGACAAGGTCTCGCTATATAGTTCAGGCTGGCCTTGAACTCACTGTGTAGCCCAGGCTGGCCTGGAGCTTGTGTGATCCTCCTGCCTCAGGCTCCTGAGTGCTGTGATGACAGGTGTGCGCCACCACGCCCAGTTGAAATTCTTTAATTTCTTGAGTTTCAAAATGTTTACAGTGATTATTATGTTACTCCACTTCAAATTCAGTTTATATGATTTACGGATGATGTTTACCTTCATTGAATTCATAATAATGCTACACCTGATATTTTGATTTCTCAATTTCTTTTTTATTTTTATGGTACCGGGGATCGAACTCAGGACCTTGTGCTTGTGAGGCAGTTGTGGTGCCACTGAGCTAAATCCTGGCCCTCAGTTTCTGCAGTGGTGACATGAGCGTGATTAAATATTCCTTTATACTGTTCCTTAAAATAATCTGATATTCTTGTGCCTTTTTTTGTTTAAATGACCTTGATACTTAGACATTAAAGACTTCTTTAATAATGTTTTTATTTTATTTTTTTCATTCTAGTTCATTCAGCCCTTCAAGAAATAACAGAGTCTAAGGGACAAGAAGAGGAACTTGATAGCCTAGTTAAATATTTCAGTGTTGTTTGGTGCAAGGCTTCAAAGAAAAAACACAAAAAGTGGGAAGGAGATGCTATTCTTATTGTGAAAGGAAGGTCATTTATATTAAAAGATTTAGAAGGCAAAGACATTGGGAAAGGTATTGTGATATTACCTAATGTTTCTGATTTTGCTTAAATATTTGTATATATATCTGGTTATACAGTTGCAATACAATTGGGCTTTATAAAGAGAGAGAGCAAGATGGCCTTGCATTTTCATGCTGCAGCTGTACGATACGTACAATTCATAGTAGTGAGCCCAACAAGCTTATGACTTGTACTCGCTCATGAAGGTGAATTCTGTCATTTTCTCCAAAAGCAGTCAGCCACTTATATAGTTGTTTTGGCATTCTGAGATTAAGCAGTCTGTCTTGGCGCACTTTTTCTTTTTTTGCAGAATGCTGAGTGATTACATTTTATAAGGTGTTGATAGCAGGATTCTAGTGATAGCCAATTTCAGTACTAAATAAACTGGTACTGAAAAACTGAGCAAGGAAATAATGGCTAGGCCTGATCTAGGTTAACATGTCTAAATTGGGGTTTACCGTTAATTTATGTTACAAAATGTTGCCAGAACAACTTGTACTAATACAAGTTAGCTTGTAAGTTCAGAATGCTTAATACCATAGGTTTTTTTGCATTGTCCCTTACTCAATTTTGAGTGTGGCCAACTTATAAAATCTATATTATGTGTTCATGCTTTCACTTCAAATGTAGTTTTTGTTTGTTTGTTTATTTATTTATTTTTTTGAGACAGAGTCTCACTATGTACTTCAGTCTCGCCTTGAACTCACTGTGTAGCCCAGGCTGCCCTCAAACTTCCAGCGATCCTCCCGCCTCAGCTTCCAAATTACAAGTGTGTGTGCCACCATGCCTGACCTAGGCTATATTTTCAATAATAAAAAATACTTGCATTCTGTAAAGCATGGCTAATTTTTATAGCTGAATCATTTCTTTTGAGTTTTTAGGAATTTTTTCTTAATTAAAATGATAAATTATGTTTTCTGCCTAGAGTTATGTAAGAGTACATGCAAAACACAATTTTCATTGTGTTCAGTCATGGGAAGGAGGCTATGTTATTATTAAGTCATCTTGGGGTGTCAGTTCAATTAATTGTTTTCTTTCTCATCTTAAAGGTATTGGATATAAATTCAAAGAGCTTGAAAAGATTGAAGAAGGCCAAACACTGATGATTGGTGGAAAAGAAGTAGAAATCATAGGTATAATCTCTTCAGAGGACTTCAACAGTGGCAGGTGTTTTCAGTTTGGAGGAGGAAGCCCTGCTGTCCCAGGTTCTTCTCAGACTGCCACAAAGCAATTTTCTAAGCCTTTCAAAAGTGTTTGTAAACCAAGTTCAAAGAAAAATATACGGGATGCTTTCCAAAATTACAAACCACGCCATGACCCATACACACCAAGTAAGGTGTTAAAAATAACTTGAATATTCTGCTTTTACTGTCAAGAGATTTTTGTTAGGTGAATTGAAGTTTAGATTTTTTTTTTAAACAGGTGAAAGTCTATTATTTTTAAGATACACAGTCTGACATAGAGATAATGTTGAAGCCAAATAACTTCAAGAGTTTGGGAATTATTTAATATGTAAATATATAACCTCAAAAGAATAATCAATATTAATTATGCCTTGGAGGAAAAATAGGTAACTTGTAGATGTATACATGCACATAAGTATAATTTTGAATGAAACCTGACTTCTGTACTAAGGAGAAAAATTAGTAAACCTACTCTTCATAATTATTATACTTCTGGATTGAAGATTACATGCTGAGATCACATGCATTAGTGTATTACCTTGTGGAGTAGTGAGATGGTACGCAAAACCTGAAAATTCAGTTTAATTCAATCAGTTAATTTTCAGAAGAGTTTGATTTAAAATAAAATTTGCATTGCAGAATGAAACCTGAGCTGTTTCTGATTGTTCTTTTATTCAGTTATTTTCTTACCCAGTATTTCTTGATTGCCTTTTATGTATTGGACCTAGAGGTAAAGCTGTTACGACAGACCCTGATTTGGTGAGGATTATGGATGAAAGTATAATGTAGTAGATACAAGAAGGAGGGAAAAGAGGCTTCTTTTATACTAGTGGCAACAATTATTTTTTCCTGCTGCCATTATTATGGAAACATAAATTTTGAGATAAAGGGGCCTTTGAGATCATTTAGATCAGTCCCTGCACTCTGCATTTGAGGGAACTGGGGCCCTGGGAAGAGAAACTGACTTAGGTAAACTGAGTAATCAGTCACATAGAAGAGAAAACCCCACAATTAAGTATTCCTATTTCTTCATTAATTTATCCTAAAAACTCAGTTGAAATATGTAGAGTAGTTGCTTGTGCTTACAAATTTTTCCTTTTTTTACCCAAATATTTCATGTGTCCCACCAACTCCTTCTCTTTAATCTCCTTTCTCTTTGCCTTCCTCTTACACAATAGAGGGCTGTGGGGAACGGAAAAGAGTATTATGCTTATTTAATCAGACTTGTGGTTTTGCCACTGAACTAACTAGTTTTCTGACCTCTTTGAGTATCACTTACGTAATGATTTGCTTGTTCATGTGGGTTCTAATAACCACTTCAGAGATTAGAGTGCTGTGTGTGTATTTGTAGGTATATATGTATGCATATGAGAGCATTTTGTATAAATGGTTGATTGTTTTTACTGTGCCATGGATAGAATTGGGTTGTACACTCAAAAGTAATCTGTTGCAGTACTAAGGATTGAACCTAGGGCTTTTGCACTGAGCTACATTCTCACCCCGTTTTAATTTTCTGTTTTGAGACATGGTTTCACTTAGTGGCTAAATTGCCCAGGGTGGGCTCAAACTGTCCATCTGCCAGTCTCCCATGCCAGGAGATTTTTTTTCCCTTAAAGATGAACCTTTTAAACTGGATGTAGTGGTCTGTGTCTGTGATCCTAGTACTTTAGGAGGCGAGACAGGAGGATTGTGAGTTTGAACCCAGCCTGAGCAACTTGGTGAATTAGTGAGGCTTTGTCTCAAAATAAAAAATAAGAAAGGGCTGGAGATATAACTCAGTGTGACAGCTTTTTGTTAAGTATCCAGTAAATTCAATAATCAGAGCTGGGGATTTAGTTCAGTGGCACTGTGCCTGCCTCGTAAGCGTAAGGTCTTGAGTTTGATCCCTAGTACTGGGGGAAAAAAAATTCAGAAATCAAAAAAAACGATGGGCCACTTATAGAGGTTAGCTTTTTTTTTGGTACGGAGGATCGAACTCTGAACCTTGCACTTACAAAGCAGGCGGTGGAAACACTGAGCTAAATTCCCGGCCCTAGAGGTTAGTTTTTTGTTGTTGTTATCCTGTGGTCCTGTGTCCTTGAATGAACAGTATGTGTTTTTCATCTATATTCCCCACTTTGTCCCTTTTAAAAGATAAGGGGAAAAAATGGGGCTAGTTCTTGGTTGAAATTCCTCAAGGAGTATACTCTTTTTTTTTTTGGTACTGGGGATCGAACTCGGGACCTTGCACTTGCGAAGCAGGCACCGGAACCACTGAGCTAAATCCCCAGCCCAGGAGTATACTCTTGATTTGCTACTGGAATATAGAGAAAAGCCAAGGGCTAAATTTTCCATTTTTACTTTCTAATCTCCTACCTATCAAGAATTGATTTCAAAGAAGGTTTTTTTTCGAGTTACTTAGAAACCTAGGAAGAGCCACAGAAAACTTGTCCTTTGGGTAACTGCTAATGGTAAATATGAGTCTCATTGCTATGATCATGTATGTCCAGATGGATGAACATTTATTTAGTCTACTGGAACCTAGTTCTTTGTGTCTTCCCTTCTTTTTGTTCTTCTCTTATTTCCTTCCTGTTTATTTTTTGGATCAAATTGAGTTTTTATTCATTCTGTAGACAAATAAATATACCCCTAAAATAATTTTATGGGGTTATTATCTTACTTCAGATTTATCAATTGAGACTTGCCTTGAGGTATATTTGATTTTGCCTTTTTGGGTGATGTTTTAGTAAACTTTAAAAATTGTTTTAGGATATGTCTAAAAAAATTATTATTTGATGATTACTTCATACTGCTTTGCACAGTTTGACTTTTATGAATGTAATAATTTAAGCAAATAATGATGGCTGAATTAATGGAAAATTTATTCTTTCTCAGTTTTTATTAATAGGAGTAATGATCATTCTTAGTGTGTGCAGGACTAAAAACTAAAAAAAAAAAACTTTACGTTAAGTTTGGGAAGTCTTTTCAGAGTGAGAAACTGTAAGCACTGGCAGGTGTGTCCTGGCAAAATTCCCACCTGTGCTTTCCAGGGGAAAGAGGTTTCGTTTCCCTGCATACTGAGCTACTAAATATTATGGCTTTTCAAGGTAAAAGTGAATTTCAGGGATTTTTGAAGCACTTTTGGCCATATGAAGTTTTTTTATTTTTTTATTTTTTTGGTACCAGCGATCGAACTCAGGACGTTGTGCTTGCGAGGCAGGCAGCAGCACCACTGAGCTAAATCCCTGGCCCTGGCCATATGAAGTTTGAAAAGTAGTAAGGCATGAGATTTTCTTTTTTTTGGTACTGGGGATCGAACTCAGGACCTTTAGCTTGTGAGGCAGCCAGTGGCACCACTGAGCTATATCCCTGGCCCATGAGATTTTCTTTTTTGATTTTGTTCCCTTGTTAGCATTAGTGTTACTAAACGTTGTATTTTTTTGTCATGATTGCAAACGGTTCCATTTTAGGGATAATGAAAACAAGATAATATAGTTGCCAATAAAGTGAAATTACAGTATAATCATACTTTTACCTTTTTTTTAAAAGATTCTCTTGTTATGCCACGACCTGACAAGAATCACCAGTGGATGTTCAATAAGAACTGTTTTCCTCTTGTGGATGTAGTGATAGATCCTCATGTTGTACATCACCTTCGACCACATCAGAAAGAAGGAATCATATTTCTTTATGAATGTGTAATGGGTATGAGGTAGGAAAACATTAATTTAGTTTAATATGAGTTTTGATTTAACCTGTAACATGTAATGATTTTTTAAGAAGAGTTTGATATAATAAGTCTCAAGGGTACACTATGAATTTTAGTTATGAGATGTGATTAGGGCTGGAGATGCAGCTCAGTGATATAGCAATTGCCTAGTGTGTGCAAAGCCCTGGATTTAATCCCTAGGACTGAAAAAAAAAAGAAAAAAGAAAAGGAGACTGATACTTCATGTTTGTGTTTATTCCAAAAGTAGTATTAAGCCCCCTTTTGAATTTTCTGATTAAAGAATAGTAGAATCAAAAGTCCCTGCTAATATTTCTTTCTAGTCTTTTTTGCATTTTTTTGTTTTTAAATGAATAGGCTCTTGAATTTAGATTTGTTGGAGCCAGGTATAGTGGTGTATACCTCTAATCTCAGCTACTTGGCAGGCTGAAGTAGGTGGATTGCAAGTTCAAGCCTGGGCAATTTAGCCAAATCTTGTCTCCAAAAATGAATGAATGAATGAATGAATGGGCTTGGGACATATTTCTGCACTCCCTGAGCCACATCCCCAGAATCCCAAAAAACACCGAGCAAGGGCCAGGGATTTAGCTCAGTGGTCCTGCCTCCTACCTCACAAGCACAAGATCCTGAGTTCGATCCCTGGTACAAAAAAAAAGTGTGCACCACCAAAAAACACACAGCTACAACAAATCATCCTTTCCCCAAACTCAAAAGAGCCCTCTGCCTGATACAAATCAGAGGACACTGTCTCCTGGAAACTTTGAACTGAACTCCCTTCCCACCTATATTAGTTTGGATCTTATCTCTTCTTTCTCACCTTCTGAATCTAATCAGACCTGAACTTTATAATTCTTTTAACCTCCTAAATGTAACTGGATGCCTAATCTTTTCTGGCATCCCGCAGTAACTGGTGACATCAAAACATCATGTTTTATATGCACTATTACAATGGCTCCTAACTTGAGTTTCTGCTTCTGATCCTTCTCAAATCTAATCTGCTTATATCCACAGTTTGAGGCATTCCCTTACTTGGAGTCATTCCAAATTTAAAGCAGTTTGCCCGTATCTGTGATCCTCATTCCACTGGCAGTATATGGGATCATTTTGAGGTGATATATAGATAAGATTTGTTTTTAAATTTTAATAGTAGTATATTTAAAGAATTACTAGAAAAAATGGCACATTAAATTTTTGTTCCAGATAAATTGTGCTTAGAAATGGTTTTCAAGTTTAAATTAAAAGTTAATTTATTTAAAGAAAAGTAAATAATAGGGCTGGGGATTTAGCTCAGTGGTACCACACCTGCCTCGCTAACATTAAGGACCTGAGTTCGATCTCCGGTACTGGGGGAAAAAAAAAAGTAAATAATAGCATAGTATTGCATATATAGCAAAAACTTGTGATAATAGTAGTGAAAAACGCTGTTTGAGAGCTGCTGATCTACCAGATACAGTCTGAGTTCTCCGGATAAGCACATTTACCTTCTTCCTACCTTGCCAACTTTGTATCTTTATATCTCCCTTCTTGGAATTCAGTTCAAGTTCCAACTATATTGAACTGTGTAATTAGTGCATTGAATTTCTATTTACCCTCTAAAATTGGCCAGGGTGTATCTTCTTAATGAAGCAATGCTCTTCCTTTCTTCCAACCGTGAAAGGTTGGATTTTTTTCCTCTGCTCTTCATATCTCATTTGACTGACAGTTGGTGTGCACTGGCAAATTATTTAAAGCAATCACAATTCACATTTGTGCTTTTTCTCTGTGTATACTTTGAAATGGAAAACATAAAAATTGCTTATTGGTCTTTATTTCTACTAATAAGAAATATAGTATGGTTAGGCTGGCCATGGTGGCATACACTTATAATCCCAGCACTCAGGAGGCTGAGTCAGGAGGATTGTGGCGAGTTTGAGGCCAGTCTGGGATATGTAATGAGTTCAAGGCCAGCCTGAACTATATACAGAGATGCTGTCTCAAAAAAACAAAAATAGGGTTGGGGATTTAGCTCAGTGGTTCTGCCGGTTGCCTTGAAAGCGCAAGGTCCTGAGTTCAATCCCCAGTACCAAAAACAAACAAACAAAAAACAAAAATAGGGATGGGGATTTAGCTCAGTGGCACTGCACCTGCCTCACAAGTGCAAGGTCCTGAGTTTGATCCCTGGTACCAAAAAAAAAAGAAAAAAAAAAAAAACCAAATCAAAATTAACAAACTATACTTATATTTTGGGTAATATTATCACTTCCCTTAGAATTTATAACTTTTTAATATATAGCATGTAGATATTAAAGGCTTTATAAAAATTCAGGACCTAGTATTTCTAATGACATTTATTTTAAATTGTGTTAATTGAGTAAGTCTGTAGGATAAAAGATTTTTAAAATTATGTGGATTAGATCAAGTAGTTTGTTTATTTATTTATTTATTTATTTATGGTACTGGGGATTGAACTCAGGACCTTGCACTTGAATGGCAGGTGTAGCTCCACTGAGCTAAATCCCCAGCCCATTTAGTTTATTTGAAAAAATTTTTTTTATTATTGTTTTTTTTGGTACTGGGGATCGAACTCAGGTCCTTGTGCTTGTTGGGGAGGTAGTGGAACCACTGAGCTAAATCCTTGGCCCCATTTAGTTTATTTTTTAAAAAGTACGTTACAGAGAGCTCTTTTGGTTGAGCACTTAATTTTCTGCCAGCATGATTAATTTTTCTTGTTCTAGGTTAGACTTATTTACCCTAGAATAAATTCAGCTTAATAGATCTTTTGATTAAAGTTACAATATATTTTAAACTGTTTTGATATTTAATATTGAAAATTATAAGAATTGTTCAACTGTTAGTGGTGAGAAACACTGTTATTGTTAAATTAGCCAAACATAGATATAATGTTGCAATTAACCTAGTCTTCAAATATGTACATGTGATAGTAACAGATGATTTAAATTCAGCTCTTTAATTTCAGATTGATGTTTTGGTATAAGATGCAAAAGAGGTATATTATAAATCAGCTGAATAAAACGTTAGGAAAGGCTTCAGTGTCATAATTATAAAATATCAGTTTCTGGTTTCTTGATGGTTTTAGAAGAATAAAATGTTTTTCTACTCTGATTAAAGGAAGTACACTTTTTCTGACAGAATGAATGGCAGATATGGAGCTATTCTTGCTGATGAGATGTGTTTAGGGAAAACGTTGCAATGTATTTCGCTCATCTGGACCCTGCAGTGTCAGGGACCCTATGGAGGCAAGCCAGTGATAAGGAAGAGCCTAATTGTTACACCCGGAAGCTTGGTGAATAATTGGAGGAAAGAATTTAAAAAATGGCTGGGAACTGAAAGGATCAAGATATTTACTGTTGATCAGGTAAGAGACTTTTATAAGTTTAGCCTTAGTCATCCTTCAGATCTCTAGCTTTTAAAATCAATAATACAGTTTTTAATTTTTTCTGTTGTAGTTTTTCAAGTTTATGTAACTTCCAACCCCGTTATGCAAAATTGTGGTCTTGGTTTTGGGTTGCTCTGGACTGAATGTTTGGGTTCCTCCCAGATTCACATGTTGAAGCTCTGACTCTCAATATGTAGATGTTCCTTAGCATGCGATGGGGTTTTGTAATATTGTGACTGAACATGCATGTAATACTGAACATTATAGCCTAGCCTAACTTACCTTAAATATGATCAGAACACTTTCATTAGCCTACAGTTTTGTAAAATCATCTAACCAAAAACCTATTTTATAATAAGGTATTGAATATCTCATGTGATTTATTGAATACTGAAAGAGAAAAACAGTGGTTGTATAGATTCAATTTTTTTTGGTACTGTGAATCAAACTCAGGACCTTGCGCTTGAGACACAGGTGTGGTACCACTGAGCTAAATCCCTGGCCCTTGGATTCAGTTTTATACATTGTAAAGTAAAAAATCATTAGGTCAACCATCATGAGGTCAGGGACCATCTGTAATAGTTTTAGGAGGTGGGGACTTAGAGAAGTAATTAGGCTTAGATGCAGTGGTGAGGGTGGAGCCCTATGATGGGATTATTGCCCCTGTCAATAAATGAAAAAGCACCAGAGCTTTTTCTCTTCACCATTAGAGGATAGAGCAAGAAGGCTTCCTTCTGCAGTCCAGGGAGAGGGTCATCTATTGTTTTGACACCGTGACCTTAGGTTTCCCAGCTTCTGGAACTGTGGGCAATAAATATCTATTATTTAAGCCACCCAATCTATAGTAATTTCTTCTCATAGTCTGTGCTGATCAAGACATGTTAAAGAGTTAACATGTTCAAATACTTGATAAGTGGCTGTCAGAATAGTTTGATTTCACATACAGTATACATTGGTCATTAATTGGTTCTGGGAGGTATAATGAATACCAAACAAATGGTTTTGGCTGAAAAGGGTAGCGAGTCAGGAGGCAGTTGACACCAACAAGTTCTAGTTTTGTGTGTTGAGTACCAAACTATGATGAATATTGGAACAAAATTTTCTCATCAGAATGTGTACAGTACCAAATTTGATGAGTTTCATTTTTGTTTTTGTTTTTTGAGACAGGTTCTTGCTCAGACTGGCCTTGAAATCACTATGTAGCCTAGGCTGGCCTGAAACTTGCAGTGTTCTCCTCAGCCTCCTGAGTGCTGGATTACAGGCATTTGCCACCATGCTAGGCTGACAAGTTTCAAAACAGTTGAATATCAAGATATGACTGTAGTTTATGCTCATGGCTTGTTAAATATTATCTTTTTTTTTTTTTCAGGACCACAAAGTTGAAGAATTCATCAAATCTGTATTTTATTCTGTTCTTATCATTAGCTATGAAATGTTACTTCGTTCCCTGGAACAAATTAAGAATATAAAATTTGATCTTCTAATCTGTGATGAGGGACATCGTTTGAAAAACAGTGCCATTAAGACAACTACAGCCCTCATTAGCCTTTCTTGTGAGAAAAGAATAATTCTAACTGGTTGGTATTTAACTTTGGGAAGATATGATGGTTATTTTGCCTACTGAACATAACAGATAATGTGACCTGATACTTGATATCCCAAAACTGGTGATACTGAATGGAATTCATACTAATAATTATGTGTTAATTGAATCTTGGTAGGCTTTTGAATTCAAAAATCTCTGTATAATTTTCTGAAGCCCTGATGTTGGTACTTTTGAGGAATAAGCATAATGAATGGTGTCATAGTAGAGAATATAGGAGGTGAGGCTGGGCTTACCTGTGCTTGGTTTCTGAATCTGACATTTACAGCTGTGCAACTTTGGGTGAGTTAACTTCTCTGTACCTCAATTTTCTTGTCTGTGAAATAGGGACTATAATACCATCTACTTCATAGAATTTTGGTGAGGTTCAAAGTTAATCCATGCAAAGTTCTTGGGACTACCTGACATGTGGTAAGTACTTAATATAAATATCAGTCTGGGTGCTGCAGCTGCACCCAGCAAGAGTGGTGTGGAAACCAGAGAAGAGAAAAGCTGATGTTGGACATTTATAAAATGCTATTTTTAAAGGGAAAAAGGAATTGAAGAAATGAAAAATTTAATCTAGGTGATTTTTCGTGTCTTTGTTGCTTTGAGGAACTAAGTGGATTCTTTTTTCTTGATTGCCAAAGCTATGGTTCACACTTCTTGATTAGCCTTTGATCTTGAGATCCTTGGGGCTGGAAAGGAAATGGAAAAAAAAGACATGGCTGAATTTAGTTGTATTGTGCTAGAAGGGAAAAACCAGATGGTTTCTCCTTACTGATAAATGTGGGGTATTGCTTTTTTATTTTATTTTTTTTTGGTAATGGGAATCGAACTTGGGAACTTGTGCTTGTGAGGCAGGCGGTGGAACCACTGAGCTAAATCCCCAGCCCTGGATATTGCTTATTTAAAAGCTAGTGTGGCTATAAAGTAAAAAAGGTTAGCACCAGAAGAGAGAAGAAAAATGAATAAAAAAGATAAATGAGAAGTAGAGGTTATTGAAAAGTACTGAAGGTAAAGAATAAAAAGTCCTTGCAGGCCAGGGATTAGCTCAGTGGCACTGTGCCCACCTTGCAGGCCCAAGGCCCTGAGTTCCATCCCTGGCACCAAAAAAAAAAAAGTCCTTGTCTCACTTGAAGATCAGATAGCTTTCGTCCTCTTTTCTTCCATGAAATTCTCTCTGGCCATTTTTTTTTTTTTTGGTACCAGGGATTGAACTCAAGTCCTTGTGCTTGTGAGGCAGGCAGTGGAACCACTGAGCTAAATCCCTGGCCCCAGATAGCTTTCTTTAGGAAAAATGAACAGATTAATATTCTCAATTACATTACCAATTTAACTGCCATTCCAAATTAAATTTAATCTTTATAGTTTATTCTGGTACTTCATTTAGAAGGAATGTCCTGATGGTGACAGTTGAGATAATTTCTTTTTTTTTTTTGGTACCAGGGATCGAACTTGGGTCCTTGCGCTTGAAAGGCAGGCAACCGAACCACTGAGCCAAATCCCCAGCATAGAGATAATTTCATTTTAAGAGTTAGGATTGTCCCCTGTCTCCTTACTTTGTCAGTCTTAGATTTTTTTTGCTTTCCTATCCTTGTCACTTATAACTCTGAGAGCTCTGAAATTAGGTAAAAATTAGCAATAACCTCTTAAATTTAGAGATACATGTGATTGGTTTTTATGTCCTTTAGAATTCCCTGAATGAATTCTTTGCTTTTATAATGACAGGATATTTTGCTCCCATGGTGATTTGCTTGTTATTATAAAAGTTCATGTTTGTATGTAAGTATATACTTTGCTGTATACGTGATAGGTGCTCAGTAATTAAGAATCAAAGAAGTTTTGATTTTATTTCTGGTATTATCTAGCCTAGTTAATATTGATTGGAAAATGGCTAGGATTCAAACTGACTAGCAGACTAGTGTATTAAGTCTGCTAGGGCTGCTGTAACAAAATCTGAAAGTCTTAGGCATTGTTCTAAGTACATTATATAGTTTGATGACTTTGATCCTTTCAGCCCAGGGAGCTAGTCTTATCATCCCCATTTTATAGACAATACACTGATATAAATAACTGGCTCAGGGTTAGATAGTGTTGAGACTCTGAGCCTGACTCTGTTACTGTGCTGTTAAAACCAGAATTAAGAAGAGCCGGGCAATGTGGCATATACCTGTAATCTCTGCTATTTGGGAGGCTGAGGCAGAATGATTTCGAGTTTGAGGCCAGCTTTGGCAACTTAGTGAGATCCTGTCTCAAAACAAGAACAATAGCAACAGCAAAAGCCCAAAAGGAGAGTTTTTTGAGACAGTCTTGCTATCCAGTTCATGCTGGCCTCGAACTCACTATGTAGCCCAAGCTGACCTCAAACTTGGAGCAGTTCTGCTTCAGCCTCCTGAGTGCTGGGATTATAGGCATGTGCCACTACACCTGGGTACCAAAAAGACAGTTAAAGACTTATGTGATTATTAATATTTTAAATTTGATTTGGCTGCTCTTTCTGGATTTTAGGGAATTTGCTTATATTCCTTTGAGGGAAGAGAGTACAAACTTTCATAAATACTTGTGATTATAAAACAAATTTGGTCTTCTCTATCTCTCCTTAGGTACTCCAATTCAGAATGATCTGCAAGAATTTTTTGCATTAATTGATTTTGTAAATCCAGGAGTACTGGGCTCTTTGGCATCTTACAGGAAAATATATGAAGAACCCATCGTTATGTCGAGAGAACCTTCTGCTTCTGAGGTATAATTTACTTTAATAAATAAGTTTGAAAAAGAGCAGTATATCTGGAAAAACTATCTATAGCTTGGGTATTACTTTAATTTAGAAAAAATTAATAAGTGAACTTTTTTCTTACATTCTTTCATATTTTCATTCCTTATTTTAGAAAATGACATCATGACTTGTCTAAAATTCATAAATAGGTATTTCAGAAAGATTATAAATGACAATAAATGTATCAAAATATTCTTCCTTGCTGGTATTGAAAAAAGTTAACCAAGGTAAACAGGAGGTAACTTTTCTACTCTTTTGTGGGTGTTAGAGTAGGTTGAATTTACATAGTAACACCAAGCATAGATGAGAGTACCGTTCTCTGCTAGTGGCGATGTAAATTGGCATAACTTGAGGACAGTTTGGCAGTATGTATCAGAAAAATCTTAATATTGTGTATATCTTGTGACCTAGTAGTACTTTTAGGAATTTATTATAAAGAAGTAACAATAGATTTGTTTAAAGATTTTGCTGTAAGGGAAGAAAATTGGAAACAAACTAAAGAAAATTAACAGGAAACAAACATTTTTAAAGACAGGGAAATTGGTTAAATTATGGTCTTCATTTTGTAAAGATATTCTCCTTAATTGACTTTAAGATACTATCAACTGGGGCTAGGGATTTAGCTCAGTGGTTCCGGTGCCTGCCTCGCAACCGCAAGGTTCCAAGTTCGATCCTTGGTACCAAAAAAAAAAAAGGATGCTATCAATTGTACAGTATATATCATTATTTTATATATCACTAAGTAAAACACATTATCAATTAAAATTGATAGAAGTCATTGATTATAAAGGCATCTTATACCAGAGTAGCTAAAATGTGAAAAATTCTGTCTTAGCATTCACAAAACAGCAATTTGTCAACAAATATTTATTGAACATTTTCTATGAACCAGAAACTGCACAAAATAATGGTACATGTGATTTATTTCCCCTAGTGCTGGAGATTAAACCCAGGGCCTTGAACATGCTAGGCAAGCACTTTACCACTGAACTATTCCCTCTGCTTGGTTTATGTGAATATTTAATAGCATGAAGAATTTATGATCTCTCATTTTTAAAAAAGATCACATTCATTTCTCCAGCACACACATGAAACATCATAAAAGGGTCAAAGGCTAAGTACTAAAAACTGATTGATGCCTTGTTTGCCTGAAGCTTAATAGTTTGAGATCCTATTTTTGTTATGTAGAGAAACAGGACTTAGTTGGTTGTTTCTGGTTGTGAAAATTAGATTAGATTTATTATTTATTTATTTTTGAAAATTGATTTATAATTTCTTATTACTGTATAACTGTAGTTTCTGTCTTTTATTTAATGAGCCTATTAGTTTCATAATAAAAATTAAACCTTGTTTTAAAATATAAAGGAACATTTCTGATTTATATAGGAATAATATACACTTATGGGATTTATTTTAAGCTCTACTGTAAAGTTCTGTACTCAAAAAATTCTATATAGAGAATTTGAACGTATATTTCATTAATATTATACTTTGGGTTAAAAGGTACTATTATTTAATGAACAATTTGTAAGAATTTTGAAAAAAATCAACATTGTTTTGGGCCAATAATTTCCTATGGGCTTAGTTTTAGAGTGAATATTTGTCAAAATATTTGCTTCTGAGAACTTTGCTGTCAGTTCTTTGCTAATGATTTTAAGACCATGTCCCCTTCTAGTCTTCACAGAAAAGCTTACTTTCAGGATGCTTTCATTTGTAGTTCGTTGATTTCTGATGGTTCTGCATGGTGCCTCTAACCAAACAAGCCATGAGTAGGAGATTGTGGCTTCACTTAACTAAATTATTATACTGAACATTTAATTTAAGTCTGCTCTTTTTCCATAGGAAGAAAAGGAGCTAGGAGAGAGAAGAGCAGCTGAACTTACTCGTGTCACTGGACTTTTTATCCTTAGAAGAACCCAGGAAGTCATAAATAAGTATCTCCCACCTAAAATAGAGAATGTACTCTTTTGCCGACCAGCAACACTGCAGATTGAACTTTATAAAAAGCTGTTGAATTCCCAGGCTATCAGGTTCTGTCTTCAAGGGTCCCTGGAAAATAGTCCTCATCTAATATGTATAGGAGCTCTTAAAAAACTGTGCAATCACCCCTGCCTTTTGTTCAACTCCATAAAGGTAAGGAGAAGAAAAACAATGGCAGAGATGGGTGCTATGGTATGCGAGTCCAAGGAGACCGATTGGACTAATCGTTGAGGTTGAATTTGTGGGTTCTTTTCCATTTTTTTTTCCTTTTTTCATGGTACTGAGGACTGAACCCAGGTCTGGTGCATGCTAGACAAGTGGTGTACCATTGAGCTACATCCCTAGCCCTTTATTTTAGTTTGAGACAGTCTTTCTATGTCGCCTAGGCAGGCCTCAGTCTTGCAATCCTCTTGCCTCAGCTTCTTGAGTACGTGTGATTATAGGCATGTGCTATTGTACATGGTACATTTGTGGGTTTTGTAAAAGCTTTGCAGCACTTGCAGTTTGGTTCTATTAGAGCTTCTCCAACCTTCTACTTGTTCTGTAGACCATGTGCACATTCCCAAGAAGGCTTTCAGACATTGCCTTCTACAGTTTGTGCCTCATGCTCTTTGGGACCTTGTCTTAATACTTTGCCATAATCAGTTGATTTTGTTTGATGCTAACAAATAGGAAATTTACTATTAAAATATTTATTTTTCTTAGTATAAAAGTGATACATGATTGTTGCATGTGGAAAAATCAGAAAAATTAAAAAAAGGAAAATCATTGTAAGCTCTGAAGCCAGAAAAAAAAAATCACATTTTGGTACTAATATCTGCTACAGGGCCAGGGATTTAGCTCTGTGGCGCCTGCCTTGTAAGCACAAGATCCTGAGTTCGATCTCTGGTACCAGAAAAGATAGAAAGAAAGAAAGAGAGAGATAGAGAGAGTAAGAGAGGAGGAAGGACCAAATAAACTTCTCTTTAAAAAAAAAAATCAGCTACATTATTAAACATTTATCATATACTGAAACTACATACTTTTCTAGTTTTATTTTATTTACTCTTTATGCAACTCTGTTATTTTACTACCCCCCTTTTTTTGAGATGAGGTCTTACTGTGTTGTCCAGCCTGTTCTTGAACTCCTGCTTATCCTCGCCAACAGCTGGTACTGGAGGTCCATGCCAGCTTCCTTAGTTTTTTTTTTTTTTTGGTACTGGGTATCAAACTGAGGACCTTACACTTGTGAGGCAGGCGTGGTGCCACTAGGCTAAATCCCCAGTCCCTTTCCTTAGTTTTTTTTTGGGGGGTGGCTACTGGGGATTGAACTTGGGATTCCTTCCTTAGTTTTTTTTAGTACTGGGGATTGAACTCGGGTCCTTGCGCTTGTGCAGCAGGTGGCGAAACCACTGAGCTAAATCCCCGGCCCTTCCTTTCTTTTTGATGTTGAAGAAATAGGGGCTCAGAGATAATGCATATATAATCTGATTCTAGAAAACCTTTTAATTTTAGTGATACTGTACTACTTTTTTTTACTAAGTAAATTGTGACTATTTCCCCAAATTAGATATCTTCTGCAAGTATGATTTTTAATGACTACATAATAGGGTTATTTGGATATTTAATAAATGTAAGGCAATTTGGAGTACAGTAAGAGTTTTCTGTTTTGGATTAGAATTGAGTGTCAGTCTCCATTTTATTACTTAGGTCTTTGGTCTTTTACTAATTAGTACTACTAATTAGAACTACTCATCAGTTCTTTAACTGTTGACAGGTTACGTAGTCATTATATTTGTGAGCCGTAATTTATTTTTTTTTTTTGGTACCAGGGATCGAACTTGGGTCCTTGCACTTGCACAGCAGGCGGTGAAACCACTGAGCTAAATCCCTGGCCCTAGCCATCATTTTTTTTATCTGGAAAGCAGAGACAATAATTTCTTAATAATGTTATTGTGACAATTTGATGAGAGTTCTGGAGAAAATCTAGCAGAATGCCTGGTTATGGAAACTGCATCATAACCATTAATACCCTATTTTACCTTGAATAATTTTTATTCTTTTATTTTTTCTTCAAAAAAGTAAAATCAAAATTTGCCAAAAAACCTAAAACAAAATCTCTGGGTGCTACTTTTTGCTGAAGTCATTAATTCTGTATTTATTAAATGAAGCATTGTACCAGAATTCTCCAAGTTTATCCTACAGTGAATTATATATACCTAGTTTATCATAGAAGTCAGTTTTGTGTAACTCTGAAGAAGGCAGGATTATAACAATTTATTAAGCAACTTTTAAAGAAGCAGATTCCATATGCAAGTGGTAAAAATTAAACCCTTGGGCATGAAGCCTAGCAAAAAGAAGCCAAAGTCGATCCCTGGTACCAAAAAAAAAAGAGAGAAGCCAAAAATTCTCCCTTAAAAGGAAGACATTATGATGGCCCAGAATGTTCCAGTTAAGAATATCCTTGCACATTCTTTTTTTTTTTGGTACCAGGAATGGAACTCGGGTCCTTGCACTTGCAAGGCAGGCAGTGGAACCACTGAGCTAGATCCCTGGCCCTTCTTGCACATTCTTAAAGCAGCAGGGGGCTCTAAATGTCTCCATTGTTACCATATGGCCACTGGTAACAGGCAGAGAGAATGGTCTCAGTTTCAAATAGGGCGCATCATTTATAGTCTGAAACTATTCAGAAGAACTTTTCCTCTAACATCATAGCAAATAAGGATCACTATGAAAGGGCTACAATAAGCCTTCTGCATATATAGTAAACCTTAAGCAATGGTTTATAAATCTAAATATGTTCCTAGTGATATTAGGTAGTTTCCCAAGTTTAATCAAGGTGCTGGGTCTCTTGAGGAAATGTTAATAGAATGTAACCACCAAAAGTATTATAAATCATAATCTAAGGGTACCAGGTTACATGGAGTCAGAGGAGAGAGTACTATATCTTCATTAGCTGATGTAAGTCTACCCGGTCAATCATGGGTGATACATCAAGCTGTCATAGCATAACATTTTATCCATTAGTTGATTAGTAATTAGTGGTATGTACTATAATGTTCTGGGCAGCTTTTAAAACTGCATCTGTCCAGACCTCAACAAATACAGAATGATTCAGAATCTCTGAAAATAGAACCCAGGCATGCCTGAGAATTTTGCAAGTGATTCTGATTATGTGGTCCTGGGTAAGAATTTGTGCTTTAAGATCACCTGTCTTGCTTGTATTCTGATTTAATATTCACCAGTCTTCTGCTGGTGATTTGGCTTCTCCTTTGAATCTTCTTTGTTAGGACAGAGTATGTAGACCAATTCATTTAAATAGGTGTATCACTTGTAGGTCAATATAAACTTCAGAATCCATTGAATTGATGTATGCAGTCTCTTTAATTTGATTAGTTTGAGCCATCAATTTCTTTTTTTTTTTTGTACCAGGGATTGAACTCAGGACCTTGTGCTTGCGAGGCAGGCGAGGCACCACTGAGCTAAATCCCTGGCCCGAGCCATTAATTTCTTATAGCTTAAGCATGTTCAAGTTTTCAAACATGAACAGCTGTGGACTAGACCCTGCGTCTGTGGTCCTTTGATGATGTCTTAATTGTAAGCTTTTTAGCAAACAGGCTTGGGGCAGCTAGTAGCCATCTCTTTTCCCTCATATGTAAATGTCTTAAAGTTCCAAATACTTTTATTCAAATAACTTTATCTAATTATTGCTATATTATGGTAATAAGACGAAATTAGTGCTTTGTGCCCAGCATCTTCTACATGGAACTTATTGCCTTTGCGATATTTCTAGTACTATTAAAGAAGGAATAGAATACACATTAAAAACATTAGGGAGTATAAAAAAGTATAGTTAACTGCTCAATTAAGGTCAAAGCTGAAATGTGCTAGAAAGAGAGACAGAAAGAGACAGAAAGAGAGCTATGAATGATCAAGTATAATTTGCATTGGGTTCAAGTATTTATAGGATTGAGATAATTGGCCATAAAAATGAGAAAACATTCTTGGAAGTGGTGTAGATTAAAGAAAAATTTCAAAGATTGTGATAATTCTGGTAAATATGGGAGAGAGGAGATCTGCCAATCCTGGGAATTTAACCTAAAAAGTGATCAGTCATTAAAAACGCTGACCTCTACTTATATATTCATGTTGTAACTAGACAGTTTTGTAGGAGGGACCTCAGAGGTACTGATGATTGTTTTGAAATGCTCTCAAGACTACATGGGCTGGGGATTTAGTTCACTGGTTCTGCCACCTGCCTCTTAAGTGCAAGGTCCAGAGTTAGATCCCCGGTACCACACACACACACAAAAAAAAGACTATAGTATTAGTAAAATTGGGACTGGGGCTTGTGGCTCAGTGGACGAGCACTTGCCTAGCATGTGTGAGGCCCCAGTTCAGTCCTCAGTACCCTACTCTCCACCAAACTATTATTAGTAAAATAAAAAGTATTGTAAGAATAAACTTCTCTGTTAATTTATTGGTGAGATTGTTACTTTTTACAGAAGAAACAAGCAAATTAAGTAAACTTGTGGTTGTTTGTGAATAACACCTGGAAGATGTTATTTGCAGCCCACAAATCAGGAGAAAATAGTACCAGGGAAGGAGAGAGAAAAATAGAAAAGGGCATGTTGATGATGGGAAATGTCAGGGTTCTGGAGACGACAGGTTTTGCATTTTTGTTTGCCCTTTGTTTTCTTCCTCTGTTTTTCTCTGCCCACCCCCCCTTGAATGTTATATGCGGAAAATGATCTTGCACTTGCAAGTTGAAGGGAGCAGCCCTGAGGCTGTATTACAATTGCTCAGTAATCAGCTCAGTGGGATGCGTGTTACTTTTTTCAAAAATGATCAAATCGTGACTTATAAAGGTTTACTTAACAGTTAGCTTGGACCTTTCAGGTAGCTATTAATCTCTACCTCCTCCCATAATTTTAGCGTTTTTGTTGTCCTTAAAAAAAACAAATATGAGCTAGTATTAACAGTCACCTTTTAAATAGGGAAAAGATTGTAGCTCAACTTGTGATGGAAACGAAGAAAAGAGTCTATACGAAGAAAAGAGTCTGTACGAAGGCTTGCTAAATGTGTTTCCTGCTGATTATAATCCTCTGGTGTTTATGGAGAAGGATTCAGGAAAACTACAAGTGCTGGCAAAACTCCTAGCTGTTATCCATGAACTTCGTCCCACTGAAAAGTAAGAGATTAGTTTAGAACACTACCTGTAAGTGCTAAAAGGGTTTTTAGCCTTTTCTATTGCTTACTTCTCTCTTCTCCCCCCATGTAAGAAAACATTAAAAATATTTTTCTCTGGGGTCATGGTAAGCTCTAGTATTTTATAAACTTAACAACAATATATAAGTTTTTATTTAAGAAAAACTATATGTAATATATGTATATTTAAAAAACACTAGTGATGTCTTCTGATATATAACACCTTGTTTCTCAGTTTCTTACTGTTTCCTGAATGTTAATATACCTTAGGATTTTCTTTTTAGCCTTTCTTTATCAACACTCATCCAATCATTGAATTCTGTTAATTTTCTTTTTTTCTTTTTTTTTTTGTATTAAATTCTTTTATTGGTACATTGTAGGTATACAACACAGTTACATTTCTCACTGGGAATTGTACCTTTA